GTAATAAATGGTTCTTAAACTAAGTTCCTGAAATATCGTCCCACAAAGATTGATTTCCAATTACTAAAAATTTTCTAATTCAATTGTTTAAGCTTCAAAGATACGAGATTAATTAAAAACAAGAATTTATAAAATCAATTATAAAACTAAGAGTAAGGAATACAATGCACGTCTTGGTTAAACTTATCGGAGAAGAACCTATGGCATATGGGTTTTCCCATTCAATCCTTTATGTTATTCTTCTGTTTAACTCTAAATCCGATTTCCTTGTGATTACTAATCATTCATACAAATACTATTAATACCCAATGGTCATGTAATATTAATATTCTTTTCTCTAAATTAATATCACCAATGGTCATGCAAGATATCAATTTGAGAAAGTTTGAGGAACCTATGAACTTGTTAATTTAATAATGATTATAAGATAAAGATTGGTTTCGTCCACCTAATCCTTTGTTTCGTTTTACCCTAAAGATCTATTAATTAACCGAGGTACGATCGCCTGACGATATAATTAATTAGGATTAAGAAAGAAGAGCAATAGGATAAAATCTAATCACAAAACGGAAATCAAATTTAAATTCAAATATCAAAATTTCATAAATTCATGGACAATAGTTCTCATAGCCCTAGTTATGGACTTAGTTACTCATGCTAAAGAAAAGAACTAAAACAATCATAAACAAAGTCATAATCAAAAGAAATAGCAAACTAGAGTGTGAGATATGTTCTCGGTCTTCAAGTACGATCGCTTGAAGCTTCAAGTATCGCCAAACATGTGCCAAAGATCCCATGCAAGAGAAACGAGATCAGATGTATTCTAGAGCCAAAGCCAAGATGTAAAAACAGTCCCTTTACGATGCCTTAAATTTTCCCTTTTATAGGATTTGAAAACCCTACAAACTCTTCATAAATGGGCTTCCTGCAGATGAGCACGGCCGTGCAAGGCCTTAAGCACGACTGTGCATGCGCTCAAAGCACCCCCGTGCTTATTGAATGTGTTTAGGTGTGCTGACTGCTGTGAAGCTCTAATCTTCCGTCAATTTGGGCTCATAATGTACCCAAAATCCACTTGCGACCTCTTTATACCAAACTGCACAATTAATATATGGACTGTAAAAGAGGTCTTAATTACAGACTTATCAATTGGCAAGCCACAACTCCCTCTACAAACTTAATAAAATAACCTGAAGTGAACTTTCTGGAATCAATATCTCTATCCATATCTGAGTCTGAGTAACCCACCAAAGTAAGTTTATCACCTCCAAAACAAAGTCTCAAATCACTAGTACCACAAAGATACATTAAAATCCATTTCATAACATTTCAATGCTCTCTATTTGGATTCAACAAAAAATGACTAACTGTACCAACAACATATGCAATATCTAGTCTTGTACATACCATTGCATAGATCAAACTACCTACTGTAGATGCATAAGGAACTCTGCTCATATTTGTCTTCTCAGCTTCATTTGAAGGACTTAGTTTAAAATGACTAGCAAGAAGAATGTTCACTGCTTTAGCATTTTTCATTTGAAATATCTGCAACACCTTCTTAATGTAGTGCTCTTGTGATAGCCAAAGCTTCTTTTCTTTTCTATCATGTATGACTCGCCTAGTTGCTTCTTTAACCCATTAATCCTGGAAATATTTTTTCCAACAATAAGCATGTCATCAACATACAACAACATAATAATAAAGTCATCATCAAGAAACTTTGTAACAAAGACACAATAGTCAGAAGTAGTCTTTTTATAGCCTTGGTCACATATAAAGGACTCAAACTTCTTGTACCATTATCTTGGAGCTTGCTTCAAACCATATAAACTCTTTCTCAGCCTACACACATAGTCTTCCTTGCCTTCAACAACAAAACCATCAGATTAATTCATGTAAATCTCTTCCTCAAAATTACCATGAAAGGAAGTTGTCTTCACATCTATCTGTTCAACCTCCAAATCAAGAGTAACAACTAAACTTATAATAGTTCTGATGGATGACATCTTCACTACAGGTGAGAAAATTGTATCTCAGAGATGTAGAATTACTCTCTTGCTTTACCTTGAAAATTCACCTATTCTTTAAGGCTTTTTCGCCCTTAGGCAACTTTACTAAATCATAAGTGTAATTATCAAGCATAGATTTCATTTCATGTTGCATTGCATCCAACCACTATATCTTTTCTTCACTTTCCAAAGCCTTTTCAAAATATTCAGGTTCTCCACCATCAGTCAAGGTCACATACTCATCAGAAGAATACTTGGAAAATGGTTGTCTCAACCTGTTGGACCTCCTGGGAAGGACTTTTGGTAATTCAGGTGCATCATAAAGATCATCATTATGTAGCATATCATGTTCCTCTTAAACATCATCAATCGGAACCTCTAATCCATCTCCAACCTGTTGATTATCAACATCACTATGTTGCTCATCATTTTGAGTATCAATCTCAGCATTGCAACAACATCGAGTTACTATTAGTCATATTACTTTCTTTTTCGGGGTGTGGTCTTCTTTACCTTGTTAATATCTTCAATGGTTTGGTCTTTCATGAACTGTACATCACGACTTCTAACAAGCTTCTTCTCAACAGGATCATACAACTTGTAGCCAAATTCATCTTGACCATAACCAATAAAGATACACTGTCTTGTCTTCGCATCCAACTTGGGTCTTTCATCATTTGGTACATGAACAAATGCCTTACAACCGAAGACGCGCAAATGATCATAGCTGACATTATTACTAAATCAAATTTTGTCTGGCACCTCAGAATTTAAAGCAATTGCAGGACTAAGATTAATAACATACAATGCTGTAAGCAATGTCTCTTCCTAAAAATTCTTAGACAACTTTGCTTTAGAAAGCATACACCTAACTCATTCAACTAAAGTCCTGTTTATCCTCTATGCTAGATCATTCAACCATTGCAACTTTGTTATTGTGTTGTTATTTTCCCTTATAGAGTGGTATTAGAGCTCCTTGGTTTGAGACTATATTTACTTGCTTGGATGATAAAGACAAATATAAAGATGGTTGCACTCAAAAGCTGGATTCTATGTCTGATGATATCATAAAATAATATAAATTTTATTTTTAGATTTTAAAAATAAGAAATTTTATGTTATTTAAAAATAATTTTGTATTTTTATCATAAATATTTTTTTAGTCTAACAAATATTTTAAATTAATAAATTAACTCTAAAAAAAATACTAAATTATAAACATTTTAATTTTACTCTATTGTTCTAATATTATGATATTTTTTGTAAATAAATTTGTTTATATAATAATAATAAAAACAATATATTTTAATTTGTATACATTATCATATAAATTTTTTATGTATTTATATTGAAATTATTATTATTACCATTTTTAATAAAATTATGATAGCAATAAAAAGTTTTCTTTATTTATACTTTACTTAATCAACATGTTTCTTTTATTCTAGTATTTTAATTTTATTTATTTTTATCTATTAATAAATAATTAAAACTAAAAAATATTAAATATATATTATATTATAATTTTATAAATTAATTTATCCTTCATAATTATAAAAAAATAAACTTTTTAAGTAGTAAATGAAATATTTATTAATGTCATCATTAATTTTTTAAAAATTTTAAAATATGTTGATATTTATTTATTGATCTTTTAAAATTTATTATAATTATTATCATATAAAATTTATTTATTATATTTTATTTTAAAATAACTAAGAATATATATATATATATATATATATTAAAAATTTACTTATTTATTAGTATTTTTTAAGATTTAACATATTTAATATAATAATTTTTTACTATATTTATATATATTTTATTTTAAAGTAAATTTATTTAATAAAAAATAAAATAAATCTGTGCAACGCACGAACATATTTTATTAGTTTAAATTATAAAAAAATAGAGCTAAATAAAAGATTAAAAGCTTGTTTGTTTCTTTTTTTCTTAAAAATAATTTTTTGTTTTAAGAAACAAAAAAATCTTGTTTGATAAGTGTAGTTTCTGAAATTTGTTTTCAAAAACTAAATTAATTTCATTAAAATACTTTTTTTATTTAAGCTATCTATTTTCTCCATTTATTCCCTTTCACTTCTTTTAAATAACAATTTATAAAAATCATTTTACAATATAATTTTTAAAAACATAACCTAAAATCTAAAATTAAAATTAAACAACCCCTAAGTATTTATGTATCTGAAAAAGAAATTAAGAAGATAATATTTTCCGGTAAAAATGATTTTATTAGCTTACTTTATCATACACACTAGAAGCCCATTAAAAATAAATTTTTTAAGGTTGTTAAATCCTACTTTGATGGAGTGAACTACCCCAAAAATAAAAAAAACTAATCCATTAAATAATTAAAATTTGTTAGTCAAATAATATTAAATTTAATGTAACTAAAATGAGTTGAATAATTCATTTTTAATTTAAAGTAAGAGACTTTGAAATATTTTTAATTTCAAAAGACTTCAAATTTTAATAAATAATTAAAAATATATCATATAATTGTTTTTAAATTATTAAATAATTTTTTTAATATAAATACATAGTAGTTGATTATTAATTTTAATTTTAGATTTGCCGTGCGCCCAGCAGCAAGCATGGATAATTGAATTCTCAAAAGTAAAAAAATCAGAACAAATTTACATATATATCCCTTAGAAGCCCAAAATATCCCCACGCCAACTTCGTTTGGCGCGTTGCTCACAGTTCGATGGCATCTTAGTAAAATCCTCAGTACTCGAAAGGTTAAGAAGGTCATCCCACTCAACTTCTAACACGTGTCACAAATTCTCAAAGCACAGAGCAGAGTGTCCATCCTCCAAAGGAACTCACGGCATCTCCAAAATACACACACAAAGGAAACACAAGGGATTCCAAGGCAAGAGCAATAGCCAATGGTTTCATAGCACACGGATTGATGATGTGGCTAAAGATCGTCAAAATCCCGCGTAAACCCGAAACTTCAATTTTTTCGCGATTTGATTTTTATTTGCGTTTTCTCTACACTACCCCTCCCTCCTAACCCTTCTTATCCCCTCACTCTCTCCCAAACCTCACAACCCAACCCAACCCAAAGCAACGCGCTTTCCATTTCTCTTCTCTCAAGAAAACCCTTACCTTCTTTGCCGACTCAAACCGAGTCTTCGTGTTTTTGCCACTGCTTCAGGTCCATTCTCTTCTCTATCACTATGCCGAAGGCCAAAGCTAAAGCTGACGCCAAAGCTTCCGATAACCGGTAATTTGATTTTATCTATTGGCGATTTTCTCGGGATTTGTTACTTGTTTTTAAAATTATTTGCCGTGACTGAGATCTGACTTGTTCGATCTAGCATTTGGTGTATCCTGTTCTGCGTTTGTTGTTTTGTTGTTGTCGTTGATTGTTTTGGTGTTTTTGTCACTTCGTTGCGATGCATCCTTTAGGTTGAAGCGCAAGGGCGCTGGTGCTGGAAGGAAACAATCGAAGAAAGCTGCTAAGGATCCTAACAAGCCGAAGAGGCCTCCAAGTGCTTTTTTCGTCTTTATGTATGTATTTTTTTATATTGAATCTGTATTCACTTGGTTTATGTGTTGTGGTTTGTTTGTGACTACTGAGAATTTTTTATTATTGTAGGTCTGAGTTCAGAGAGCTGTACAAGAAGGAGCATCCCAACAACAAATCTGTTGCAGTTGTGAGTGTTTACGCTTTTTTTCTCTTGTTCGGAAGTTTCGATGCCTTGTTTTTTTCTCTCGTTTTTTAATCCTTATTCCTACTTCACTGTGAAATATCTAGGTAGGGAAAGCTGGCGGTGACAAATGGAAATCCATGTCTGATGCTGTAAGTATCTCACACTCAAAAACTATTTTGTATGGTTATATATGATTGTGAAGGATTAATTATTATCAATTGATTTGATCGAATGTATAGCTTCCTTTTTTAAATGATGTTTGTGCCGCAATTTATCTTTCAGGAGAAGGCTCCCTTCGTTGCTAGGGCAGAAAAGAAGAAAGAAGAGTATGATAAAACCATTTTGGCCTACAACAAGAAATTGGTGACTACTTTTTGTCCGATGTGCCATTTCCCGCTTTAATGTTTTGTTTGTATGATGTAACTGATTGAACTTGGGGTTTTAATGTCTTTAGGAGGGCAAGAGTCCCTCAGAGGAAGAGGAGTCTGACAAGTCGAAGTCTGAAGTTAATGATGAGGAGGAAGAGGAGGTATATTATTTTAATCTAGGAATTGCATTAATTTTTGCCTGTTTAATTGTTTGTTTAATGTGTTTGTTTTTTGTTTTGTAGGAGGAGGACGATGATGAGTGAAGTTGCTGGGGACAAAGGATGTGGGGATAAAAATTGTTTTGCATAGGTTGGCGTAGAAATTGATAGGAGGATGTATCCAACCCACATCTGTTCTCTGATAATTAGTTTCTGAATTCTTATTTTGTTATCGCTAGGTTTAGATTAGTGCACAATCCCGATAGGGTTCAGTATCATGATCCTGTACCTAAAGTCAATGCTATGATACGTTTAAATTCTATTCTCGATGAAATGTCACAGCCTCTTCTATTTTAAAAAGCCTTTGATTTTTGTCCTTATTACAAGGCCTTTTGTTGAAGATGGGATCTTTTCATTGTTTAGAACCGCAGAATATTTTAAAACTCAGTTGTTTGAATTACACCTCAACAAGTTTGAACTTTTATTGCTCTTTCCTGCACGTTTTCTTTGAGCTAGAGCTGTCGCACCCACCAGTGGGATTCGCGCCAGCGCCGAGTCATGTGACCATTGCAATATCTAATTCACTTAATACCGTGTCACCATTGCAATTTCAAAGTTCTTTTCCAAACAATCGTCATGATGGTTTTCAGTATTTAGAACATTGTTGATTATGCTATTTCAGTTGATTTGCCAAAGCAATTTGGCCTTGGCAGTTTGAACTCATCTATTGCAGCTCATTGACCTTAAATTTGGGTGATTGTGTTGGAAAAATAGTTGATTAATGATCTTGCTTTCAGTTGATCCTCCCGATGTTTTAAACTTCATTCTTGGTAGAATTACGACAATCTGATAAATCGAATGACAAAAAATAGGAAAGAAACTGTTCTTTATGTACAATCATTCGATGTCAATCCAAAACTAAAACACTGCAACACTCCGATGTAAAAACAAAAATAGATATAAAATAAAGAACAAACGTAAATACAAACAAACGATGCATCTCGTACAGAGAAGTGGCAAGACACTTTGTAACCGTTGTTATATTTATTGAGTAAAGTGCTTATTAACTTCGCCTATCCTGTTCAGCAGTCCGCAGCACTTGGTTTGCTAATGATGAAAATGATTTTGCTTTATCTTGCATATCTGTAGTTCGGAGGTTGATACCCTGCCAAATCAGAGGAATATGTAACAAACAAAATCGACATGTACGTTCTTTGATGAAATATTTAAGGGTAAATATATACATGCTAACTTAAACTCTAGAATTTATCAACAAATGATATACCTGCAATTTTTTCACGTTCTCCTGCAGCTTGCTTTCTGCCAATTTAGCAACGCTTGTTTCCTGCAGTGTCAGATTCAAGATTGAAAGGTTGTTTGGTCACATTGAAGAACAAATTAACATGTGTTCAAATTTTAAATATATGCAAAATTATACCTAGTCTACATTACTATTATGCTGTATCATTTTGTTTTGATTAGATTTCAATTGAAATTTTAACAAATAAAGTTCGTGAACGATAAAATAGGTGTTAGAATATTATCTGCCATGAGGTTTGTTTCTTAAAATCATTACAACTTTTTTAAAAAAGATCATTACAACGCTGCAACTGCTCTTTCAAATCTTAGTAATAAGTAGGTAGTATGGTGTTTCAGTCTAATTATCATTGGATTCTTTTTATTAGTTCCTTAAAATCTACCAAGTCATTAGACTTATCATTAAGTTGAATGCTATCCCTTGCATGCTGATTTGGAAGTTCAAATCAGCAGATAATGAATAGTAGATCTAAACTACATGATGATAATGAATCCCAAAACTGAAGTTATTTTGACATAATTCAGATAAGAGAGTTAGTTTCTGTTCTAGACTCGTAGGTCACATCTGTCTCCTGTAAAGCAGCAAGGATCATTTAATGCTTGTGAAATGATACCAGATATATAATACTTACATTGGAGGAAGAAGAAAACCCATATTTCCTCTTAATTTGATCAACCGCACCAGCTTGCTCATCTTGTTGCTCTTCCTTACTTGATGTTTTCTGCATGTTTCCCTTCATCTCTTTCAATCTTCCTGCACATCGGATGCTCCACTAATTTAGATAGCAGAATTTTGGACAACCGTTGTGATCATCTTCAGCCTATTCAGGTGGCATGTAGGAGATCAAAATTTCAAGAATGCAGTTTTGTTTGCCAGAGTTGCATGCTTGGTTGTTGGAAGGTAATGTTTGAAAAGCAAAGGAATCTACAAGGAAGCAGCGTGAAAGATTTTTGATGAAATTTTCTTTAACATGATTTCAGGGCATACCCCACACTTGCTACTTTGAAGTCGAGCCACTATTATGTTAATCTATTCCTTTATGCAAGGAAATAATAGGTTTGGGCTAGTGTGGTTTAGGGTTTACTGTTTAGATTTTTGGGCATTCTTCTTACTCGACATAGTAGTGTGAAGTACAAGGATCTCATTACTCAACATGTACATGAAGTATTATCTCTGTTGTTTATGCTAAATAGTTTACTTTAGCATGGCCTTTTCATTTTGCCACAAATCAAATGTTAAAATATGAGTGATCATATAAACAAGTATAATCTTATATATTATTTCATCCTATCCCCAGGAATTCAATAACCACGAGTTAAATAATTATCATTTTTCTAATGTATGCTCAAGGGCATACAATAACAAAATTAATAGATAGTAAGTTTTTATTGAAAATTATAACATTTAGTGTTATCAATGAATTGGATCTTTTGATATCTTATAATTTTCAACAACTTACTATATATATGTTTCTAATTGGACACCTTGGTCGCTAACCTTTTAGAGCCTGAAATTTTCCAGTCAATTTCTTCTTATTAAGAGCTCCCAATATACTTTGTTCTTTGCGTTTTTCTTCATGATCGTCTAGGTGAATGTCATCTGTACAAGAGGAAAGGAGAACACGTCACATTGATTGTCTCAAACTTAATTATTCATATGATATAAAACATAATAAATAAGATAGGTGCCCACTTAAAATATGGAAAGCCAGAAGAACTACCTTAGGAAGTAGTCATGTTACAAAAAATTTCTGCTTATTGAGTAGCAGAATCAGGCCACCAATAAATATATTCATTAAGACAAGTGGAAAAATTTTCTGTGTAGTCCTTGAAGGCTATGTAATGTTCAGTAAAACTAAAAACCTATCTAAGACAATTTCATACCTATGTTTAATTCAACCTCATCTTCATCCACAGTCAGATTACTGTTACTATCAGTATCACATGGAAAATTTTCATAAGTAAAGATCAATGAGAGTTCCTGGATTCTTTCTTTAGAATCTTCTGTTTCCATGATGGGCACATGCTTTTCTTTGCTGCCAGTAAAATCTTTGATAACAGAGCTGAATATGCCCTGGAAAGCCGAAAAACAAGTTCAAACACCTTTTGTCACTAAGATAATGGATATAGATAGTTTAAGAAATTATTAAAAACAGTTTTTCTAGTGTCTAAGGGGTCATGTTAAAAGTTAAAAATAGAAACTTTTTATTGAAAATGAGAACATTTATTATCTCAAATTATAAAAGCATTCAATACATACTTTTTATGGTAATTTAAAATATTTAATAGGATGTATTTAATGCTTTGTATCATGTGCTCTTGAGTGCACATCAGAAAAACTGTATGAAAACTACGGAATACCTTTTTCTTTTCCTTATGGATAACTGGACCAGGGACAAGCTCTTCTTGTGACAGCATCATCTCTTTATTGTAGATGCAGCTAACAGAGTCCAAAAGCCTATAAGTCAAGCACAATGTAAAAATGAGGTTATTAATCTGGAACGTTACTACCATTTTTCATCTTCAGTGGCAAGTTAATATCAATGCATTAAGAAGGAAAGAAAAAGAAAGGCTATTAATCTGGAACGTTACTACCTTTAAAACTCAAAGATGTTTTAATATGTTCTTGAGATTACAAAGAATCTATTAATCATATCAAAATTTAGCATCGGATAATACAGATTGTTGGGGGGAGTACAACAGAAAAATGGTCGGGGGAGCACCAATTGAACACTGATCGAATTGGAGTTGGTAGGAGGCTTGCCGATTAAAAGGATATTCTTAGAAGGAAAGTCAGAATGCCAGCCAATTGTTCAGATGGGAAGGAAAGAAGGTAAGGAGATTCATTATTAAAAGGAATGTCAAGGTACCGGCTTGGACAACTTTGTAATACAATTCTTTCTTGGTATCAAGAGCCAGATTTGTTTCTGTTCATCTTCAACCTTTATCCTTCCATGGAAAACTCAGCACTCAGCGATCATAAGAATCTCCTTTTCACCTTTTGCTCTGTCAAGCTAGACAGAGGGAATTATACACTATGGAAAGCCTTGGTGCTACCACTCCTCAAGGGCAATAAGCTTGATGACTATATTCTTGACACCGAGATTTGTCCCAAAGAACACATTACTGTTTCAGAAGAAAAGAAATTTAATCCTGATTTTGAAGAATGGGTTACCATGGATCAATTACTTCTTGGATGGTTGTTCAACTCTTATGACTCAAGAAGTTGCAACTTAATTGCTCCACTGTGAATCTTCAAAGCAACTTTGGGAAGGGGCTCAAAGTCTTGCAGGTCATGCTGGAGAGGAAGGAATTCAAGGGGCTTTAGAGGAGGAAGAGGACATGACTCAAAAGACAAGATTGTTTGTTGCAAACCAGGTCATGTTGCATCTTATTGTTTTCATAGATACGACAAGAATTATATGAGACAGACAACTAATGAAGAAAGATCATAGGAAAAAATTGAGAATTTCAATCATAATGCTTGTGGCATCTCCTGGTACTATACAAGATCTTGACTCGTATTTTGATAGGGGAGGCAGCAATCATGTAATTCATGACTCCAACAAATTTCATGATTTAGGTGATCATAATTGTAAGAACATTTTAACCGTTGATTATGGAGAAAATTTTAAGATTCGTGCTCATGGAAATGCTATAATAATTACTGAATATAAACCTTTAAAACTCAAAGATGTTTTAATATGTTCTTGAGATTACAAAGAATCTATTAATCATATCAAAATTAACATCGGATAGTATTATCTATGTTGAGTTTTATGATTAATCTTGCTTTGTGAAGGACAAGGTAACACGGAAGGTGCTGCCAGGAAACATTAAAAATGAATTATACAAGTTACCCAAAGGTTTTACTCAAATAAATAAAGAATGTTATGCTTTTCTCTCCCAAAAAGATACCTGGCATAGGGAAATTTGGACACCCTAACCGCAAGGTGTTGGATGAAGTCCTGAAGAATTGCAATATTAAATTTTCATGACATGATGTTTTTCATTTTTGTGAGGCCTGTCAATTTGGCAAGACATATAGTTTACTCTTTAATAGATCTTTTTCTCATATAGTGGAACCTCTAGATCTAGTACACTGATGTTTGGGGTTCAGCACCAATAAACTCAATTTTAGGATTTAAATACTGTGTTCATTTTGTTGATGATCACAGCAAATTCACTTGGCTATATCCTCTTAAACAAAAATCAAATGTAGTGCATGGTTTTACACAATTCAAAAACTGAGTAGAAATCAGTTTCATAAAAGGATTGAAGTTCTATAGTGTGATGGTGGAGGAGAATTTAGATCCTTAGGAAAAATGATACAAGCAACAAGAATTCACATTAGACAATCTTGTCCCTACACATAGGCATTTGGTAGAGGTAGGATTAACTCTTTTGACACAAGCAAAGATGTCATTGTATTATTGGTAGGAGAGTTTCTTGACTGCTGTATACCTTATTAATCGACTGCCAACCCAAGTTTTAGAAAACAAATCTCCTTATCAAGTTTTATTTCATACGATACCAAACAATGAGGCCATGAAAACCTTTGGATGTGCATGCTACCTTGTCTAAGACCCTATAATCAACACAAACTACAGTTCCATACATTGAGATGTGTCTTTCTAGGATATAGTGATACAAACAAAGGTTACAAATGCTTAAGTTCTACTGGCAGAATTTTTGTATATAGACATGTTATTTTTAATGAACAACATATTTCATTTCATTATACTTCTCTTAACCAAAAAAGACCAACAAAATTTGGCACTACTATTTCTAGTTTTTTGTATCCACTAACCACTGAGGTGCTGAAAATGCTCAAATTACAATAACCACTAATTACTTAGCGGTAATGGACCATGCTGCATAGATCTTAGTACCAAAAGCCTTAAGTAATATTCATAACAATGATCCTAAGAAACAATGGTGACAATTTGCAATAGGAGCATCATCTAGATTTAACAACCCCAGGAGGAATTCCTCCTGTTCAACACTATTCAAGTAGCAAGCATGATTTTAATCATACATCAAAATCCTTAAATCAGCATCAGATGATAACCAAAAGTAAAGTTGACATATTCAAACCTAAAAAACTATATGTAGGCACAGTTGAGAAGAATTTTACAAAGTTAGAACTAGATAGTGCACAAAAGGCTTTGAAGATACTTGAGTGGAAGTAAGCCATGTAATATGAATACAAGGCCTTGATGGTTAAATAAAACTTGGACATTTGTTCCTTTTGAAGACCAAAAGAATATTATTGACTCAAAATGTGTGTAAGACCAAAAGAATATTACAGTTCCAAGAACACCAGTCTTATGGTGTGATAATCTTAGTGCTAAAGCTCTAACATTAAATCCAATATATCATTCAAGGTCCAAACACAGAGAAATTGATGTTCACTACATCAGAGATCAAGTACTACGTAACATGATCCTGGTAGCATATGTTCCTAGTTCTGATCAAATTGGTTATTGCTTGACCAAAGCTTTGACTCATACTAAGTTCACTCAATTGAGGGACAAACTAGGTGTAATCAAATTACCCACAAATTTGAGTGGGGGAGTTAAACAAAATTAGTTATCTTGTTTAGTGTATCTACTATTTGTTCAGTTTGTTAGTTATGAGCTAAGTCATTATTAGATGAGTAGCCTTTTCTCATTGTATATAAGCCTAAAGGGCTACAATCTGTATAGGAATGATTTTTCTGAAAACTTCTTAATACAATTCTTTCTTAGATAAAAATATTTATTATGGCAATCTCTGGCCATATTATATGTATAGCCATCATATACCTGAAAATACTCCTTTGGACCAACAATGAGAGAACAAAAATTTCTTGGTCAGCATTCACCTGTAGATGGAAGTTGAGGTAATTCAAAATCAAACATCTAAATAAACTTGTACAAGTAACAAAAATGCTCCTACCAAAACAAGGTCTCCTTTGGATGAACAACATATCTGGCAGTCAGAAAATGATTTTGATTTTGGACGAGAATAAGTGAAACCTCTAATTGAAGTCTCCATAATCAGGGATAACTCTGGCAATGACCTATTATTTAAAAGAGATGTCTATGTATTAAATTAAATCGTTGTAAAAGAAAGTATGTCACATGCAGTTAACAAACCAGATTAATTGAAGTTCTGACCTTGATCACCTGATAAAACACATTTCTTGGTATTTGGATAAATGATAAATTCCAATCAATACAATATAAAACCCTTGAAATAATTTACCCCAAGCTATTTATTGGACAACAAAACAACCAATCGTTTTCTTGATTCTCTAAGACAAATGGAAAAATAAAAATTTAAGCATAAAAGCACACTAGCATTATGCCAGCGAATGTTGGGATATTACTTTGCATGACAAATAATGACATATGTTTTTTTACTTCTTATTTTTTGTAACAGAAAAATATGTCCTCATAATCGACATTGAGTTGTTATTTTAACAAATGTTGAAAAGTCTTTTCATATATTATATACCATCAATTTATGTTTTCATATAAAGTGCAGGCTAAGAAAAAAGCACAACCTTAATTCTACTTTTCCACTAGTGAAAAGGAGTACAAGGCCAATATCAGAAGGGCTGTAAAATGTTGATGCCCAGCAACAGGAAGCGGAATGAAACTTTTTCTTGTAAAGCACCTTTTTAACAGCCTGCAACATAATCATTGGAGGTATCAGCTAATGTTCTTGTTCTTCATCTCTTGATTATGGCTTTAAGTAAATCATACAATACCTGAATAGCATGCACCAATGAATAGACATATACAGCTTTCTCAGAACAAATCAGAATGCATTCTTGCTTTGTTGTTGCATTGTCAATAGGATTCCCTTCACTCAAGTCTAACCCATCTTTCATGATTGATCCAGTGACTGGTCCACCTTGTCCATCTGTGTACCATAATAGAATTGCTGTTACCATTTTCAGTCATTTCCTTCTTATAAATCAAAACAGTATTGAAATGTTGATCCTTAAAAGAATGAGCATTTGGATCACTTATTAGTTTTTGACAATTAATCACTGTGCTAACTATGATAACTCTTACCCAACACATGCATATATAGAGCTTTAGAGGGCTTCTTAGGATGAACAGTTCCCGTGCCCATTGTGTTACCAGTTTCTTTATCAAGTGCCAGAACAGATGAATCTTTCGTTCCAATCAGTAAGATGTTTTTCTCAAAACCATGCAAGCCACAGGTCAGGAACTGCAGGGAGATGATACCAGCAGAAAATTCACTTGCAATATGTTTCTGATATAATAAAGTTGGGCCATCCAAGTTATAAACTGAAACCTGCAACAAATTGGATTAACATATGTTCTACATTATTTATTTAGCAAAGACAATAAACAACTATACCCTCACTGCACAAGAAACACAAAATAGCAAGTTCAACACAATATCTGATAATCATTTGTCAAAGCTGAAGTAACAATATATCCAAACACATAACAAGGGATGTAATGCAAATCTACGGCTTACAAAAATCTACTACAAAGTTGCCTAAAGTAGAAATACAAAAAGCTCATTTTTCATTATGTTAAATGGTCCTTGTCATTTATAAATGAGTTCAATGGAAGCTCCATACTTTAAATGATTGTAGGTATATATTGTGAGGGCCGCCTAGTCACATTAGTGCTCGAGGGGTTAGTCTTGCAATGATGCCTGAGCAAATGCCCTTTTTGGAAACCAAAATATTTATCTACTGGCCTATAAATTGATGACTTCTATTTCTTCTAATATAACTGCAACAATGACATTTTTCTCAAAATATTGCTTTTAGAATTTGGACTCAAATTCATTTCTTTGAATGCTTGGAATATTAGAGAACTAAAAACACATTTCCAAATTTTTTAAAAAAGCTCGAAAATTGTCTCACATGTCCTTGATCAGAACCAACAGCAAGATGCATTGAGCTGGAATCTATGTTTATAGAAAGTATGGCACCATTTATCTTTACAAGTTTCATACTTTGGATTATATGATCAGTCCCTTTCTTTGTACCCCCTGCAAAAGAGGAATGAAAAGGGAAGTCAGTATATTGACTAAAATACGAATCATGCTAGCAGTTTGATAAGCAAGCAAAAGTTATATGCTATGTGATACCAGTAAAAGAAATGAAGCTGTTAGTGGCATATGGTTCAGGTTTGAATCTAAAGATGCGAACCTGTAAAATCATGTTTATGTCAGAATACTATAAATATTAAAGGAATGTGAGATAACCAAGGGAGGGGGGAGGGGGGAGGGGGGAGGGGGGAGGGGGGGGGGAGAGGAGAGAAAGAAAAGGAAATTCTCACGCTTTACAAATTTTGAAATTGAGGAACCTCACCATTCCACTCTGGTCACCAGAAACAAGAAGAGGGGTGTTGCTATCAAAGTATAACGCTGACAAGGGTATACCACTTAGTGAAAAGTCATTTTCACTCTGCATTGACAAGGAGGGTACAAATAAATAAAAATTACATGAAGAGAAAGTAAATGCTAACTAATTTTTTTAAACAAATGGTAAACAAAATAACCTCCTCTAGTTCATCAAAGCTTATTGAGCATAAAGTTAATAACAACTTGATGTATAACATACTTGGCTACTCACCATCTATTTGAATATAACTAGGCACTTCCAAACACATTTAATTTTTTTTATCAATCCAATACTTGCTTGAATGGCACTTCAATACAAAACATTGCTATGATTATCCAATACAATCAAGAACTTTAATTAGCTAGACAAATAAATTGACTGATGCTTTACATACATGAAAGCGCTTGAGATTGATAAAAATATTAGCTGGACTATTTCTTTCAATTCAATGTAGAGAACTTGAGAGCACAAGACATGCCTGATTAAACATTACCTGTTGCTTTAATTGCAAAATAGGAGTGAAAAAGGGGCATGTAGCATCCCAGAAGGTTATGGCTCCATTGCTGTGTCCAGTTATGTACAAGTTTTGAACTTTTGAAAATCCATAAAATTTGGCAGAACTCAGGCTTATCCCATCTTTTTGATTCAGTTCAACAGGAACAAAAAGTGGATAGTTTTTGACCAGCTGTCTGTAATACTACTATGTGACAAGAAAGTCAATAGCCAAATCAATACATTCATAAAGAAGTGGTGGACTGAAAAACAGAATGAACATGGTAGAGTAAAATTATAGTTTCATGATCCTATTACCTCATCATCAGAATTGAATACATTGGGATTGTTGGAGATGAATTTTGCTGTTGTGATTCTAGAATCTGCCAGCGGTAACTTCACAATTACTTCCTTTGGAAGTGAAGGTGCGGACTTAGATTGGCATTGTAGCAGATACCTTTCAATCAAACTATCATCATATAGATATAGATGGCCTGACTTCCCAAGCAACAAGAAAGAATCTTGTTTGTACTTGCTTTGCTCAGTTGAAGTTGATAAGATCTCCATGTCAATACAACATTCAGACAATTGAAGTCCAAGCTTAATTGTGCGAGATTCTGTATGCTCATTCAACAACACTACCTGCCACATATAATACATAAGTTAGCATGACCTAGCTGCAATCAAGATCTAAAGTATACCTAGAGGGAGCAGAAAGAACAAGGAAAATTGCTTTTACATCTCATTTAGTTAAATGAGAAAGCTTTTATGGTGAAAAATAGTACATGTTAATTGAACTAGCAAATTATACCTAGTACAAATTTATAGAACAAAGGACACAGTATGCCTTCTGAAAATCACAAGTTCATGTAAGTGGTAATAGTGAAGTTGAATTCTGGCTTTATTTCTCTTGGAAAGATATCTTATCATAAAGATACAGATACAGATACAGCAATGTTTAAATTTGTCACAGAACAAGATATTTTGTTAAATAATTTGAGCAAAACATTTGAATACCTGCAACAAGTTTGAAGTTGCATAGTCGGAAGCTCCCATAACATATAGTCTACTAGCCTTTCCTCCATCATAAACCCATTTTAGTGATCCAATGGAAATTTTGTCTGACTTGTATCCTAAGTTAAGTTTGAGCAAAGGAGTGTTTTGATTACTATTTTCTGGTGTTGAACAATTTCCTATATTCTGAGAAGGGATGCTCCAAATAAAGATCTCTCCATTGTTGTACCCTACAACCACTTTACTTCCAAAAGGACATGCCCAACATGCAGAAGTTATTTTCTTCATTTCATTATACAGTGGTTGTGACATATTTCCACCGGTTCTGAAAATAGATTTGCTTTCCAGAATATCCCATAGTATTATTTGGCCATTTCTAAAGATTAAGAGAACCCTGTGCATTGGAACACACAAGAGAACATAAGTTCTACAAATAAATGATCAAGAAAAAACAGAAACCAAATTAATCATATGAAAAATCCTAAAGAATGGCTGTGTTTGTGGAGATCACCTCTTGAATTCAGCAGCTGGTTGAGGCAATATATGTGTTACAACTGTATCATCAGACACTTCAGTATTACCTAAACAAGGACGACTGGAATTAAGGAGATAAAGATGACAAGAAAGTACCTTTAAGAGAGAAATTAAAGGGGGTGGGGAGTTTGAACCCACCTCTCTAGTTTAATAGACAATGAACAAATGATAATTCACTGGCACTTCTTGTAATTGAGAGTTATATAAAATTTCAAAATATCCATCATATGTTACAAATATATGCCTAAATATAAGAAAGAAACATATGGATGTTAGCATCCTGGGTGATGAGGTTGTTTTTCACAAGCTAAGGATAACCAAGTAACAAAATTGTTTACATTTACATGAAGATGATGGATTAAGCCTAGTTTGAGTGATCCATGTATTTAACTTCATCTAGTGGGATAAGGCCTTGTTTTTATTCCCTAAAGATCATGTCTTGCCTAGAATTAATTTTCCACACACAAGCCTTAAGTATGAAATCTACCTTAAAGCAGAAACAAAGACATGGAAAGTGGATATTGTTCCTAAACAATGCTAATGACTTTTATACTTATCATATTAGAAACCAACATACAATATAATCATCATTTTGTATTTTTTTTTAATCCAAATGTGGGCTGGAGATTTGCAAGTGACATGAAAATAAGCAGAAAAAAAAGGAAGGCTACAATATGTAACTCACCATAGGAAGCTGAGAGGGGTATCGTGTATTTCATCTGAACCAAGTGCCATGGTTCTTGATCAAGCTTCAAAACTGAAATATTACCATTAGAATGTCCAAGGTACCTGCCAATGCAGATACATGCTCATAACTTATGATGGAGTTCTTCTTGATAGCTTGTTCCGAGTTAGGCATATTACTTACATGTAGAGGCTATGTTGAATGACTGAAAAGCAAGTGATTTCTTCCTTATCAAAGTACCTGTCAGACAACAGTTTCTTGTCTATGTCCCAAACCTAAATGTGAAATATTTTTAGGACAATCAAATTTCTGAATAATCTGATCTTAAATTGATTCATTACACAGAAAAATGTAAGAATGCAGTAGTGGAACAAACCTAGTGAAAATGAAACTCAGAAGCAGCATGAAAAATATAGTAAATGTGAGAAAGTCCATAGTTACACTTGCCTCAATATGGTTATTGGAAGTGACATTTATAAGGACACCTTGGTTCTGGATGAACTGCATGCATTAAATATCACAGTACTGTTAGTACAGAGGCCTGCTTGACATTCCATACAAAGGAACATTTTTCACAACAGCAAGAGGGAAAATTAGCCCATTTGCGGGGATAAGGCATATTGGACAATGACAAAGGAAAAAAAACAGATAACCTGTAGAAACTTGCTAGGTAGGGCCTCACTAGATTCAAGCAGGGTTTGAGCATTATCTTTTCCATATAGTTTAATCCGGCCATCCCTTTTAAAATACTCAACAAGATTAGTTTCAAGCACATGAAAACTCATCCAAATCAGTAGTCTTAAAATGTTCGAACGGTGTGTCCCATTATACACATTAACAAATTATCTGTTACTGTTAGATGTCACAAACGATTGAGTACATTACAGAAAATACCAAGTAAGAAATAATAGTGAGAGGAATATATTCCTTCATGCTACTATAATGGAAACTTGTTTGACTTTTTGACCAATTTAACACCCTGTAATTAATCAAAGATTCAATAAATGGCAGGGGGAACATACTTTGTAGAAAGACCCAGTATCTTCTGAATGGAATCATAGGCGAACTTGGCACCACCTGATGGTACCCCATGATGAAATACCAACCGTGGATCAACATCACTAGCTTTTAACCCACCTGATGAATTTCCACTTGGCTGCATGCAAAATTACCAATTCAATGTTCAGTATTTCAGCTGGTTGCGGTGCTGTCTGCTAAGGCTATGTGGCTGTTTCTCATAATTTTTTTAACAGATTACAGAGTAATAATGCCTTTGCATATTATTTTACTATAAGAGGAAAAAAAATTAAAAATTTGAATTATGTCATTTGATCGTGTCATCTTTGCAAAAGTGTCATGCAAGTCTTCTCAGTATGGTTCTATTTTGCGGAATTTTTTGAAGAGGCGGAAATTCCGAAAGGAGTCAAAATTTTAATTAATTAAAACATACATATTTAATTCTTATAATTAATATTTATTTCTAAATTATTTATTTATTTTTAAAATTTTTACATTTTAATTTTTATACTCATATTTTATTACATTATAATTTCTAATATTATAACATCGTCAGTAAAAGTTAATGTTCACTCTTAATTTTTTTAACGTTATTATAATGATAGATATTAAAGCATAATAAAATACTACTAGTATAACGATTAAAAATAAAAGTTTTAAACACATAAACTATTTTATAAAATAAATGTCTATCTAAACGCGTACTTTTGTTAAGAAATGAAAGACATGGAATAATCAGATCCGTGTGTAAGCAACAACACCTTAAGAACATATTTTTCAGTAAGTTTCAACTCTACATTTTGTTTACTAAGGATTATCTTCATAAAACGCTCTTGTCTAATGATTCCACCATAGTAATTTAAAGGATATCCAAATGTTAACTTACTAAAGTTCAAATGGCTTGTTCACAATAGAGACACCTTTCTATTTACAACAGTTCACAAGTTTGTTTTTCCCATGAAATGGATAGTTAATCGCCTTGGATTCTAAATTTTAGTGACAGTAGGCTAATTATCTTAGATCAACGTTGAGCTTTTTCTTTTTTGTTTTCTTTTCAAAAATAAAATTTCAAAATTTATTTTTTTAAAAAATAATTTTAGATTTTAATTTTCAAAATAACTTTTAAAATTTTATTTTCAAAATGCATAAAAAATTGAGATAATGTTATTAGAAAAAATGCGGTACAGAAAGTAAAATCACAGCATTAACGTACTCTAACGTGGGTCCCTTAGACCAACATTAACGCTTTCTAACCTGGGCCCACCCACTAGAATCTGGGGAAAAACACAGAGACCTTCTCATTGAAATACCACCGACCATAACATAAACGCAACCAGATAACATTAAATACTTAATTCAATTTGGTGTCTGCCATATCTGTTCTTTAAGGAAAAGCAAAAATCTTCACTAGAAAAATGCTTTGAAAACTTTTTATTTTTATTTTTATTTTTAAATAGCTATAGGTCTCATCTCACTTCTTGGAGTAGACACAATTAACAACTTAAATGTGTACTTGAATTAATTAATTTAAACATAATTTTTTTAAAAATTATATTAGATGATTTTAAAAGAGTTACTAATTTTTAATAAATATTTCCTAATTCTTAAATGAAGCCCAACACTCTACATAGCCGTTGAAGTGCATTAAGATACACGAAGTGCTGTTGCATGCCGCTCTTAGAGGTTAAGTTCAATGAAAAAAATTTATCATATTTCATTGACAATTTCAAAATAAAATTTAGGTCCTAAAAAATTTATTAAATTTTGAATAAACTTACCATTTTAAAATATACTGTACAAAAGATAATTATAAACTAATTGCGCAAGTGTCTGTTGCCATATTTTAATATTTTAAACCTGTTTAATTTAATCAACACATAAGTATAATATCTTTTTGGAATCCATAACTCAACCGACCAAAAACGTTTGCATTTATTTTTTTTTGAAAATCTTTTGCATTACAAAAGTATATCCGGATTCTTTGCAAACCAGAAATGGAATATCATTCAAATAAAATTAAAGATAGATAAAAAAAGAGAAACAGAATGAAACGAGCACATGAAAAGAAAGAAGCACTCAGAAGTTATGTAAATATTTGAGAAACCCAGTCATCGTTTCAATTATACCTTCTTAATCGTTGAGCTATAGAACTTTAATGATAAGTAAAATATACGTTAGAGAATGGATAAAAGTGAAATTAAGCAGCGAGATCCGAGATGCATAAAATATTAATTATGATAATTTTTGAAACATGAATTCTTATGTTTTAAATTGTATTGCAAAGATCGAAGTACCTTTTTTTTCTTAAAATCAAAATCGAATATCTAAGTTGAGAATCCAAAGAGATGCACACGGGTATCTAGATTCGAAAGAAAATGAAAGATGAACGATAGTTTGAGTGACTAAATGGGAATGAAGCAGAATAATTGACAACTGGAAGCAATGAGGGGAAGATGATGGAAGCAAAGAAAGACAAGAGAAAAGGGAATGATGGGTTACCTTCTTTATGGAAGCTTTCTCCACGAGCTTCTTCACAAACATGTTTTTGGAGGATCTGAGACTCAATTGGAGATTGATCAATTGGTGAAATTAAGCAGTAGATGAAGGGAAAATACGAGAGAAAAAGTGGGGAATGTGGTTTGTTTTGTAATAACTGATATTTATCTCAGAAAGAGTTGTCTGTTACTTTAGATGAGAGCAGTTGAGTGGTTTCTCACTTTCTTCTGTATCTGATGATTCGGTGGTGAGAAAAGACAACCAAGTGACTTTTATAGCGGGGAGACAATAAATAATAATAGTATTAAATTTTTAAAATTATTTGTTGGATATGAATCGATTGAAATGGTTTTAACTTAATTAATAATCTTAAATACAAATCTTAAAATTATAATTAAATGATTTAAATAAAGTTTTAATTTTAGAAACTTTGTGATTCTTTTATTTAATTTTTTTAATTTAATTTTGTTATCTGATCTTTTATCAGATTTATTAATTTATTTTATTACTTATTTATACATGAATTGACATGAGAAATAATATATATATATATATAATTTTTTATATAAATATAAGTCTAAAATTTTTTATATTTGATTTAAATTTTTATTTAATTTATTTTTAATAGTTAATAAAATAATAAATTATAACACATTATATATAAATAAAATAAAATATTTAAATTAAGTGTAAAAAATTTTAAATTTATATTATTTTAAAAAATATTTAATGATCGATAAAATCCTGTTTAAAAAAAAAAAAAGTAAAAAATTGTAAACTCTTGAGTGACTATGGATTTGTCCAAAACAAGTTTGAACGCATAATGGGATAACCTCACATTGGCTTCACTTTTGTGATCAGCAAAAGCCAGACATTATAAATATATTATTTAAAAAGCTAAAGTATAATAATAAAGATTATAATGGTATTATTGTGGAACGTTGCCGTTTTGGTTGGACAAGTTGCATAGTCACACGTGTCAGGAGCGAAATGCAGTGTGGGACTGGCTTGGTGGGCCCCTGTATTATTGAGAGATACGTGGCACCACCAAAAGGAGTTTGCTTGATGGACTTGATGCTGTCACCGTCCGCAGTCCCCACTTTAATTTTTAGGATCTTTTCTTTGAATTACTTTTTTCCTCTTATTTGAAGATATATCTGTGTTTTGAAACAAATCACTTCATCGATATTGCATAAAATAAAGCAAACCAAACCATTTCATAGATATCAACAGTTAGCAAAATTAAGAAAGATGTAAACTTCAAACAGTAGTACATATCTTTAATTTTGTTAAATTATTATGTAACAGTAAAATTAGTGTTTTAGTTTTTAACTTTATTTTGTTTTGATATTTATTTATTTTCATTTTAGTTTTTAACTTTTAAATTTTTATAAATTATATTTTATTATTAATTACATCAAATAGGAAAAAGAAAGAGATGATAATGATTAGGAAAATAATTAAGAGAAAAATATAGATAATTATTAATATGATTAAATTTAGTTAATAGAAAAGAACACTCTTGATTCACGTTAAAAATAGACATAATAATGTTTAAAGATTAAATTAAAATAAAAAATAAAATTAGAATACTATCATAAAATGAAAAGTTAGAATATTAAATTAAAATAAATAAAATAAATTTAAACGACTAAAATATTAATTTGGATATTGTAAATATAATTTTTAAGGTAATTGTTATAAAAATTTAATTAAAATATACTATCAGTGAAAATTTAATTTTAAATTTTTATATTAACAAAATAATTAGTTTTTATAATATTTAATTTAGAAACTATTCATGGTATATTTTAATTGATTTAAGATACAAAAAATTCTTACATTAACAGTTTATTAAATTAAACACTTATTATAAACACAATAATATTTTTATTTACGTAATAATATTAAGAACAAAAATTATTCTTCATGCATGTTTTATTTAATCTATTTTAAAAAGCAGTTAATTATTTCTATTAATTTTATAATAAAATTTAAAAATAAATAAATATTACCTATTTAGAAACTAGATTAAAACTAATTTTAAAATTTAAATTAAGTTAAAACTAGTTTTAATAATATTTTTTTTTGACATGGTAATATATATATAAACTCTTATATCAAATCTGAACCTTTCATTTAACTTATATCTAACGATTAATGAAGTAATAAATTATAACCTATTAGATATAGGTCAAATGAAAAGTTTAAATTTAATGTAAGAATTTTTAGACTTAAACCAATGTAAGAAGATCTTGCCCTATATATATATATATATATATATATATATATATATATATATAATATTTTTATTTTATTGAATATAAATTAATATTATATATTATTATTATAAATTAATATATTAAAAATATCATTATAAGATATAAATTTTATCTTATCATAAAATAATTAAAAATATATTTAATAATATATATATATAATTTATTAATATACAAATATATATATATATATATATATAGAAAAAATAGAAAAAAAGGTAGATATCATAATTAGTAAAATTTAACAAAATGAAAAGCATATAACTTTACTAAACAATCAAGAAAAACTTTTTACTAATAATATATACAAGACTTTTTTACCTTGTTGCTTCTTCGCATGTTTGGGGTGCATTAATAGAATCATATAAATAGAATATAAATTTTACTTGAATTTTCAATAAGGTTCGTATAAGGTTGTTGGGTTCTAGTGCAAACTACAGCTGAGCATAAAAATCAGTTTTATTAAACGAGATTCAAAATTTATCTCAATAAAAAAAGTGGGTTAAATGTTTGATTTTTTAAAAAAAATTAAATTTTAAATATAATTTATTTTGATTATAGATTAAATTATTAAATCTAAATTTTTTTGTACACTTCTATTATCTTATTCAAGAGCATTCATTTGTATTTTCTAATTTAATTTTATAAATTTATTTATATTTCTTTTTTTTTATTCAATTGAAGCTTCAATTCTTTTCTCTTCCTAAAGTTTTAATAGCCTCATTAATATTTTTTAGTTGACATATTTATATATTTTTATATGAAATTAAAAATTATAACATATAAAGTATTAAATATTAGTATATAAAATAAGATTAAGTTATAACAATAAAATTTAGTTGACATATTTATATATTTTTATATGAAATTAAAAATTATAATATATAAAATATAAAATATTAGTATATAAAATAAGATTAAGTTAAAATAATAAATTTTGATTGTCAAGAAAATGAATTTGATCGTAGTATCTTATTTTGATGTTTCTATTTATCTTTTAGTAAATATTTATATTTAATTTTTAATTCTAATACTTTTTCTTAAACTTACATAAATTATTTTGAGATTTATAAAATAAAATTAAAAATAAACTTATTTTAAGATCATTCTCTCAATAGAAGAATATTCCAACAAAATACATTACCAAATGATAATTTTTAATTTTTAGCTTTTACAAGTTTAGTATATTTTTAAATTTTAGCTTTTACAATTTTATCTTAAACTAAAGTACTAAAAAAAAAAACAAATCAAATGTTTGCACTAACAATAAATTAACTTCCTTTATTACTTCATGTAAAAACACATTAGTAACACAATAACACAAGTTGAAACAAAATTCAATAAGAACTGAAGAAGTAAAAAGTTGTTAGAAAATTATTTATTGATTAAGAGCTATTGTTTATTAATATTATTTATAGTACCAATAAAAAATTAATAGTCACTTATAATGTTTTAATTAAAAAACTATTTTTAAATATTTAGTGCTGGATAAAATTTGGTAAATGGTTTATCTTTGGACTAATGGACTAAAACTATAAAGTGCAAAATTATCCAAAGGCATTTAAATATATAAAGGAAAAGGATTGTCCCTACAGATCTTGAGAATTAACATGCATTTCTTGCAGGTATAATTTTAAAGTTTTGCTAGCTAAATATTTATAACTTAGCAGTAACAACTTTATCTATTTATAGGCATGTAATAATTCTAGCAGGTTAGATCAAGTGGAGTTTGTCCATCCATATTATTACAAACTGTTTTTAGCATGTTATTCTTCAATGATCCATCTTATAAATAGAGAACAAATGGAACTACTAGATTACTCCTTATCTTACCTCTACAACAAAACCTTGATTGGAAGACTAGAAAAAACTTTGTAGGAGAGAGAATGATGAACTTGCTAAAACACATGAATCGAAGATGGTAAATATCTCCATCACATGCAACAAGTGTGAGACCAATGGATATCAAAATATCACACTACTACCACCTCTTCTAGCTCTAGAAAAACCTAGAAAATGAGAAAAAATGATAACACCAATTACTTGTCCATCTTCACAACTTACCAATGGCCTTGCACCATAAGTTTTCTCAACAATTTTCTACCACTACAGTCTCAAACTAATTCTAAAACTTTTTCTCAAAAATCTTTTGTCACCACACCAATAATAACCTAAATTTACCCCTTAAATCTTAAGAAGTAATATACAATTGCTATCTAATAGTGTCATAATCATCGAGGAGATTCCTTGAGATATCAATAATTAGGGTTAGGTTATCAAATCAAAGTTAAACTAATTTTTCAATTACAAAATCAAGTTTAGAATCATTTAAAAGTTGGCGAAACTGAATAATATATTAAGATTAGAGAAACCCATTCAATTGCACTAAAAGAAAGTAAAAAAAAAAAAAGAGATTTATTAATAATATAAAATAATAAAATAGAAGTTTATTCTATCTTAACCTAAAATAATTTAGCCACACATATTTACAAGATACAATGTAGAACTAATACAAATTATAAATAATTTTTATAAAGACTTGGATAGATGCATAAAAGTCTTCATAATAACTAAGAAATAAAAGACAAGAAAATATAAAAATCAAAGAAAAATTCCTATATTTAAACTAAAAAATAACACTTAAAATTGACTCATATGACATCTATTTATAGAGTTTGAAGTCTTGGACATTGTCACACTTGCCATTTGGCATTGGAGCACTTAGAGGTATTCATAAAGTTTTTTGTAAAATTCTAATGTTGCAATGCCCAATTTTGAATATTGGAGTGCGCAAACTTTGATGGTAACTAAAACTTTAATTGAGCTTTAGGCGTTAAAATGCTTACGGGATAAAAAACCTTATGCCCTCTTGTGAAGCTAATGTTGTAACACAAGATCTTTTGCAGTGAGTTCATTATTTAATGGGTGCTGAAACGTCGTGGAGTGCTCAACTTTGGACATTATGCT